AACCGATTTGAGGAATTCTTTTTTTATCTTAAAGAATATACTTACAGATTGGTTCCATAGAAAATTTATCAAAATCGGTTTAGAAGTTTAGTTTTTAAATTGAAATAACTGGTTTGGTCACAATTAAAGACGGACCTTTTTGTGGAACATTAAATTTGCGTAATAAAATTTTAAATTATTGCAGGTTAATTAATTCTTGCGCTTGGTGCATTAATTTTATTATGAATTTAATATTAATTATATTAAATTTAATTATGAATTAATATTATTTTATATTTATTTGAGTACATGTATTATGATAATAGTAAAAAATAAAGACTTTGTACGGGGTCTAATAGGCCTATTGCTAGCAATATATATATGTTATATATATATATATATATATATATATATATATATATATATATATATATATATATATATATAACCCATCAGGTCGACCTCCACATGATTCGCTCTGGCAGTTATTATGGTTGATTCTTGTCGAATACACACATAGTGGGTTAACTGACCATTTTACCTGACCTATCATCCGTCACTGGTGCCCCAGTGTATACAATGTATACAACTAATACAAGCGGAGGTTTAATATTAATAAGTATATTAAAAACATGAATTAAAAAAATTAAAGGTGGAACTAAATCTTGTCATGCCGAATTACAATCAAACATTTTTTAAATTTAGCACTGCTCAATAAAATATTATTATTAACCAGTTATTTCATTAGAATTATTTTGTTTATTTTTGGTTAGTCTTTAATTAATGGTAGCGGTATTAAACAAAATAATTATAATTAAATAACCAGCAAATTTGACATCCGCAAGATAACACCTAGTTCAGTAAAATATTATTATTAAATAAATAAACATTAATTGCTACATCGTAAGGAACTTGAGACGAAAATAAGTATAAAGATGACATAGTTGTTGACATTTGAACTTTATGACCTAACTTACAAAGTTTACATTTATTTCACTATTGTCCCTTACAAAACGGGCAACTAGGAAACGACACTAGTGCAACAAACTAATGAATATAAAATAATTGGACAACAGAGACATTTAGTCCTATGTCGTGGGACACAATGTCTTATTGCAATTCAACAGTTGGTCACCCTACAAACGGAACGATAGCAAAAAAATCGCAAAATACAACAAAAAAAAAATTATGACTAACTTCTTGCTCGTTATTTCGTACGTTAGTTTTCATAGGTAGGAAATTGACAACTTTTAGATAGCAAATTGAGATAAAACATTAAACCAGATTTAAATAAAGTTCTCTTGTTTTTATCTAATAGCTGAGTGTGCTATATTATTTTACTTTACTTTTTATTTAATTTATACATGTTTTAATTTTTATGTTTTTTTTTGTATGTTTTAATTATTATATTTTTATATGTTCTCCGAGTACGTTATAATACAACTGTATCTTTATGGGTTGAGTATCTCATAATAAAGAATATTATTATTATTACGAAATAACGAATAAATCGAATACTTTAAAAAGCAAATTAAATTAAGACCTTAAAGTAAGACTGTGAAAATCGCATCTAACTTAATTGCAGTTTTTGCGCAATACCGGCACAAACATACAGACAGATAAAATTTTAAAAAATTGTTATATTGGCTTATTTGTTTATTTATTCTTTATTATATAATGAAATTTGCACAAATGATGAGTTTAATACTACATGGTATTCTCTATCAGCTAACTATTAGGTAAAAACAGAAAGCGTTTGAGGGCGGTAGTGGCGAACGTACGTTACATGAAAAATGGCATTTATTAATATAAATTCTTTCATATAGTTTTTCTAAATACCTTTCATGTGCAGACCTTATCTAGTTACAACTTTATTGTATTAATAAGATTTGTAAAATTGAAACGTTAGTTTAAATCAGGAGAATATAAATAAAACATTACCAACAAAAGAAGGTATCCGGGTTCATTATCAACGTTTGGACCGTAAATAAATTATTCACATTTTATTGTCTATAAATTGACAAATATTTTACGTTTACATAATAACTTAAGACGTTCGATGTCGTCTGAAGTATTTATGAATTTATTATGTCTTAATATCAGGCAAATAAAATAGGTATATTCGTATAATAAGTGGACGAGTGTTTTATCTAATTTCTCGCCAAGCTAAATAATGAAGTTGTCGTATTATGTAAAGTTTACACTGAAGCGGTTTAGAAATTAATTTCAGATATAAGTTATTTGCGTTCTAGAAGAAAGCAAAAAGTATGTAGAAAAAATGTAAATTACTAATTAGCGACTAAGGGAACTTGATGGTTGAGTGGTGAGTAGCAGTGTCCCACTTAAAACATCATCAAAGTCTAACTACGGTTGTCAATTCGCCTGCCAAGCATGGCAACTACTGGCAAAACCCCCCAAATAGAGGGAGGCCTATGTTTAGCAGTGGATAGTAATGTCTATATATATATATATATATATATATATATATATATATATATATATATATATATATATATATATAAACTTTTCTCTTGAATCACTCTATCTATTAAAAAACTGCATCACAATCAGTTGCGTACTTTTGAAGATCTAAGCATACATCATACAAATATTTTTATAGATCTTTACTAATATTAAAAATATGAGTGTGTTAGTTTGTTACTTTTTAGTGCCTTAACGTCTTATTGAATCACTATGAAATTTGGTGTACACGTGATAAGTAAGATAGAGAAAAATACAGGCTTCTCTTTATCCTGACCAGTCCTGGTCACGCAGACGAAGTAGTGGGTAAAAGCTTGTTTGATGAATGAAATATATAGTATAAATTATATGCATTATACAATATAGGAAATAAGCAACACAATTAACAAACACAACTATAAAATTGTATTACAGTAAGGCGGTAATATTAAGAGGAGACTGCATTTCATGTGATGATGAAGGAGACAGGTAGACACTGTATCTCATGATTAAAAAACTTAAGCCTGTAGTCGAGATGAGCAACAAGGGACCTATTATAAACTTTTAAGAGCTCGACAGTTACGATGCTGGTCAAGAGAAAGTCAAAAAATTATAATGATATCACTTGTATTATAAAATTTTTGCTTTTATCAACTTGTGAAGCAAAGGGCTTTATTGTAAGGTTTTAAATCTTCATCCTATTTATCTCTAATTTGATTTTTTATCTACTAATTTATATTTCTTGACTTACATACATTGTGCCTGTATTAAAAAATATTGATATTATATAGATATCTGCAAATACAAAAAAAAAAAAACCGTTTGAATCGATTCGAGGGTCAATTTAGAATAGTAATTCAAGATTATTTAAACTTAAATTAGAATTATAAAGAGAATAGATATTTGATTTTATGTTTGTAAGTGATAAAGTCAAAAATTATTTAAATGTTTTTAAAAATATTTTCAATTATACAAAACTACATTACTAGCAACTAATATGGGCTGTATGTTATCATTAAAAAAGAACGGTGTCACTAGAGGAGAATTTTTTTATTTTAGTTAGATTTGATAATGATTATACTGCAGTTGCAAAATGTATAAATGTATTTATTGTAGAATATAAAAGAATAATCTTTATTGAAATATACTTGTTTATAAGCTATTTTAAGTAGTCAATATTATTAAAAGTGAACTAATGAATGAATGAATAAGTATACTTATTTGCATTAAACAATATAGGCAATAAGCAAACAATTAATACATGTAACGATACAGTTGTATAAGTACAGTAAAGCAGTCATATCGCTGAGAGCAATCTTTTCAAGACAACCTTAGGGTCGGTTAAGTGAAATGTAAGATTAAAATGATTTCTGTACGTACAATATAGAAACGGCTGATTTTGATCAAAATGAGTTTAATTCGTGTTGATTGCGTGATGGTGTGGGAATTCCGTTAACTAGAATTTGACATACTCGTATTTCCTAGAGTACATTTGAATGCAACGTGATACAATAAAACGGCTAAAATATGTGTATTTGATGGCAAGAGAAATGAATTTATTTACATTTTACTCGTATTACAATTACGTGTAAGTACACTGCAATGGCGGGATAAGTTGTTGCGATAAAATTGGGTTTTTATAATTTAAGATTCTGTTTAACAAAAACACTGACTTCCATTGTAATAAAATCTTGATTCTCATTTAAAAACTAAACTACTGAACTAATTTTGATAAAATTTCCATAGAACTAACCTGAAAGTGTATCTATTCAGATAAAAGAATTTTCCAAATCGGTTTATAAATGACAGAGTTATGAGGTAACAAAGAAAAATAAACCAACGAATTGCAAACCTCCTCCTTTTTTGAAGTTTATAACTTCATTACAGAACCTAGATACTGAATTACAGATTGGTAATTATAATTTATAAGTATATTATTAATCTACCTTGTCCAATTGCAAGGGAATGGCTTTTTTCCCTCCTTCCACTTATAGTGACCTAGTGATCCTATGTGCGTGCGTGCGTGCGTGCGTGCGTGCGTGCGTGTGTGTGTGTGGGAGGCGATTATTAGACATGGATGTCTAATGGTCCCATTGCTAGCAATGTAACTTATCAAGTCGTCCACGTGGTCTCCTCTGAAAACCAACGTGGTAAAATTTTGGTAAAAATAAAATAGCAATTTATTTATTTATTATTTTTGAGAGAAGCTTACAGTTATAATAACTGAATAATTAACTATATGTCAATAATAGACTAACTAAAAACAACCACATATAATTTGTTAAAATATAAATGTATTTTTTTCCCAAAGAGGGTTGACGTCAGGCATGCGGCCGATTGTAAAACTATAAGCCAAATCCTTTAGCAATATGGATAAAACCATATTACGCCGACCCCAAATAATAATTGGGATAAGGGTAGGAAGATGATGATGATTATGATGATACATGTATTCTTTTTTAAATATACAAATTCCAGATTTTGTTGCTGACGCTACACCGAAGAGCGTCAAGGGGACACCGTATATAAGCGGCGTTTCTTGAACGTACACTCACACCGTACCCAAGTGTCAAGCCGTGAACTTTACCTTACGATATAATTGTAACATTAGTTAGGTAACAAGTGTCTACTTTAGGGTAATGCTGTAATATACTTTTATAGGTAAGTTCCGATTTTAATCTATCTTTTTTTTATATTAGACATATTTAGTAAATAATACTGGAAGGTGTTTCTATCGAAATTATAGTGTAAAATAAATAAATTGGTATTGATAAAATTATTTTTGTGTTATAAAATAATATAAAATATTATTTTATAACATAATTATATATATAATTATATAATTTGAAATTATATAATTATATATATAATTTGAAAATAAAATCGTTACCTGTTACTCTCTGATAATGTAGATTTCTATAGGTGACACAATTTTTTATCAGTTAAATATTTTTGAGAATCAATTACTAAAAAAACAAATATTTTTCTCCTCTTTGTAATATTAGTTTAAATCTTTTTTGTCATATTAGCCATTAACTGTCTACTCCTCCCACATAAGGGGGTTTTGCCAGTAATTGCCACGCTTGACAGGCAGATTGGCAATTGCTGTTAGGTTATTGGTAATGTTTGAGGGACGCTGCTGTCCATTCAGTGAATATTGAATTCCTTTAGTCGCCTTTTAGGACATTCACGGGAAAGGAAGGAGGGATCCATTCTATGCCGGGACCACACGGCCAGTTTTATTTATATCTGTTTTATAAGTGTAACGATTTTCTACATATTTTTAAACATACACAATTTTGTAAGGACTTTTTTCATATTTACTTCATAAATTTTACTATCTTTCTTTCCGATCAATTTCGTTGCGAACTTTTTTAAAAGTTGCCGTAACTTCACAATTTATTCATCATTTGTCATTATTATCATTCTATTTATTTTTTTATGTTTAGACAACTTGGGTGAGAGCTTGGGGACACTGTAACACAAGTTTAAACTAGAATAGACACCAGTTACACTTAAAGGCGAAATATATCGCTTTTTATTGATAGCTTGTTTCACATAACTTAGACTTATTAGATATAATTTAGACCTTTGTGAGGAAAAATAAAATTTTATTATTAATATAACATATTGTATATTAACATTACCTGAAAGGTGATGAGTGGGGGGAAAGGGATTGTTAGCAATGGAGTTTGAAAGCCCCATTGCTAGCAATATGCGCTATTAGGTCGACCTCCACGTGATTCCCCCTGGAAACCATCGTGAACAATTCTTGTTGAATTCGTCACGATGGGCTAACTGACCTGCTTCATCCTCACCTATCATCCTTCACTGGTGCCCCGCCGGTGTATACCGATAGTGCGGGTGGGGATACTATTCCATTATCACACATTAAAAAAAAAGCTGATGAGTTATATCGCTTACGGGTTTTTCGCTTTATATCTAGATATATAGTGATGGTTAAGATAATTTCTGATCACCACTTAGCATAAAAAGATTATCCCAAGAGAACGTCTATTTAATGCAAAATTAAATAGACATTCTCTTGGGTTCCATTTTTTTTTAATTGGCGATAATTAAAAAAAATGGAATGGCAACCCCGCCTGCGCTATCGGTATGCACTGGCGGGCCACCAGTAAGGGATGATAGGTGAGGACAAAAGCAGATCAGTTAGCACATCATGATAAATTCAGTAGGAATTTATCAAGATGATTTTCAGGAGAAACAGCTTGAAGGTCGATCTGGCAGAGTATATTGCTGTCAATGGGGCTGCTAGTCTTAACAATCCCTTCTCCTGCAATAAAAATTGTCTAATGTATGATGTGAATCGCTTCAAAACGGCTGCATCTATTTAGCTCATCACTTTTTTAAGTTTGTACGGTAATCGCTTAGCACCAGGTGGGCCGTATGCTTGTTTGTCACCTTAGTGGTATAAAAACCCTGTTTCTTTTTGAAGTCGGTTGAAAAGAGAAGGTTTGTTTTTTTTACATTAATATACCCACGCTAAGCCGGAGCGTTCAACTAGTTTATAATAAATATGTTATCCAGTTATTCCACAGCCATATCCCCCTTTTCAAAGCGAAACATAATTATACAAGCACTGCTGCTTCACATCAGAAATAGTGTGGGATAGAGGTACCCAAGCTTTATTTTTATTTATTTAGTCTCCCATTCGTAATTACACTTAAAAATAAAAATACGTGTAATAATTAAAGATTGTCTAACAAAAAAAAAAAAAAAAAAACAACTTCAATTGCAAAAAGATCCGTTATTTTGACTTAAAAACTAAATTAAACCGATTTTGACAAATTTTCTATTATCTGTAAGTATATCTTTTCAGATAAAAAAAGAATTTTTCAAATCGGTTTAGAACTGACGGAGTTATGAGATAACACACGTTAAAAAGTATACAACCGAAATGAGAACCTTTTTCTTTTAGAAGTCGGTTAAAAATGACCCGATTCACTGATCTATCCATACAAAGACGAAACCTCTGGGGTTAGAAATTTAAAATTTGGATAATTTGAGTCACTTTTATAATGAAGGCATTCATTAAGGTAGTATTCTTCGAAATTCTCATAGGAACAGAAAATAACGAGCGGTGTGTAGGCAAATCTGAGGTATACAGCTAGTTCTTGTTCTCTACTAGAATTTGGCCCAGGATTTTATCCGCGGGATATGAAAATTGACTAGAAAAAAGTAGACCAGGGGAGACTGTACAAAAGTCGATTGCTTAGGTACCTCTGTCCCATTCGTGTTTCTACCGTGAAGCAGTTGTGTTTGCATGGCTGTGTTTCGGTTTGAAGGGTGGGATATGGCGTGAATTTACTGGGTACAGAGGAATAACACCTGAGTCCTCAGGAATGGCAACGCATGGGGGTATCATGGGCGAAACAGTATACTCTGTTTTGTTCATGGTACTGCTCATGTCTATAGCATCCATGGTTACCACTTTTCATCAGGTGGGCCGTCAGCTGGGGTATCATGGACGAATTCGCGCATGGGGGCCACGCGTTGCCATTAAGGACTAAGGTGTTATTCCTCTGTACAATAAAAAAAACTAATGTAAAATAGCTTATAATTTTATTCAGGTATATATAATTTAATACAATAGACAATCTATTTATATACCAAATTTTATTTAAATCGAATCAGTCGTTTCAACACAACCAAATTAACATCAAAACAACAAAACATCCAAACATTATACTTTACGCATTTATAATATAAGATAAATTTATTTAACATTTATTTCGGAGATGCATTTGAAACAATTTCGTATCAAACACAACCAAAGTCCAAAGTTGAAAATGCGGTTCAAAGTTAATATAAATATAAAAACTTGATCAAAACAACCTTTTTTGCGTAGGTGTTTTGATCTGTGAATTGCTTATTGAGATTAATCTAATAAATTATCAAAATTCGATAGAATAATTTGTTATGGCATGGGAATGGAAAAAAGCTAACGGCCCACCTGATGGATTATGGTAACTTTCGCCTACATGTAAATGTGAAGAGCATTATGGACATGGCAGACATGCTGACGGTCCACCTGATTTATTTATTTATAAATTACTCACCTCACTTACAGTATCCCAAAACGTGTAGTGAGCTATAGGTTTAATTTATAAACTTAAAAATTTTAAACAACATTTTAAAAATATATCCATTCTGTCACTAAATATATCAGTATCTGGCTGCTGAGCAATCAGAGAATTGAGCAGAGAAATAGCCTGATAAGTGGGAGCAAACTGAGCAGAGAGCCTACCATGAAATGTTTTCCGAAATTTTGGATCGAAACGAAACAGAAATTTGATGTTAAAATTACATAATATATGCCGTTTGGAAAGATTAAAATTGTTAAAATATTGTTCCTTTTGACTTTTATGATAGGATGTACGACGGACGAAATGTTAAACTCCATTTATTGGTCCGATTTTGGTATAAACAAAAACATGAAATTGAGTCCGAAATTTCCGAATTTCATTTCATGGTAGACCCGCAGTACAGGTGCGAACCGACGGTGCCGATAGTAATCGACAAACACGCAATCGCAAATCGCATTGGGGTGAATGGAAAATGATAACTGTTAGAGGTGGGAATATCAAAAAGTTTAGCTACAATATCAGGTGGGTCGTCAGCTTGTTTGCCATACTAAGTTGTATAAAAAAAATAAAAAATAAACCATTAAAGTCGTATGAGCGATTTTGGAGATTAGCGTGAATGAATATCGTGATACGGGATTTATATAAATGAAGATTACAATAAATATATAATACTAGTTTTTACTCGCGACTTTGTCCACGTGACCGTGATATGTTTAACTCGCTCAGTTAAAATATAGCCTATATATGTATATCTACATAGTACATGTATATCAAATTTCAAACTGATTGGTTGAGAGGTTTTTTTTTGATGGGTGAAAATGGAATGGTAACTCCGCCTGCGCTAACGGGATACGCTGGCGGAGCACCAGTGAATGATGATTGGTGAAGATGAAAGCAGGCCAGTTAGCCCATCACGACGAATTCACAAGGAATTAACCATGATAGTTTCCAGGGAGAACCGCGAGAAGGTCGACCTGGCTAGGTGTATTGCTAGCAATGGGATTCTCAGTCTTCATTACTAACAATCCCTTTCTCCCCTGGTTGAGAGGTTAAGACGTTATATGGCGATAAACAAAATAAACTAATTTACATTTACATTTACAGTATTAATAAGGATTTTCTAATAATCTTAATATGTTTATCGCCTTTCAATTTTGATACTGACCGTACGTACATATAAAGTTTTTGTCATTCTCGATCACGGTAACTAGTTCGGTTAATTGCAACAATTGTCTCGAATCATATGAAATGACAATAATGAATATACAACCAAACTCACTAACAAGTAAAGTTTATTATTTTAATGATGTTGATTGTTGACGTTTGATTGAATTTCGAGTTTGTAAACATTTATACAATTTGTTTTTTAAATGGATGATAATAGAATAGTAAATTCGCCTGCGCTATCGGTATATGATGGCGGATCACCAGTAAGAGAGATAGGTGAGAACGAAAAGGCAGGTCAGTTAGCCTATAGTGATGAATTTACTTGGAATAGAACTTGATGGTTTCTAGGGGGAACCGCGAGTAGGTCGAACTGACAGGGTGTATTGCTAGCAATGGGGCTACTAATACCTATTATTAACAATCCCTTCTTCTCCTCTATACTAATATTAAAATTAAGATTGTGTCTCAAAAAAAAAAAAACTATTTCAATTATTTTGATTCAAAAACACCCATCAAAAATGGCTTTCAGAGATTTTGTGGCTAATAAGTATGGTTGTGGAACAGTTGTGTTTGCATGGCTGTGTTTCGGTTTGAAGGGTGGGATATGGCGTGAATTTACTGGGCACAGAGGAATAACATCTGAGTCCTCAGGAATGGCAACACATGGGGGGTATCATGGGCGAAACAGTATACTCTGTTATGTCCATGCTACTGCTCATGTCTAGGCGACAGTTACCACTTTCCATCAGGTGAGCCATCAGCTTGTTTGCCATTTTAAGTTGTATAAAAAAAAAACTTCTGGTAGTAATATTGGTGGTCAATCTTCGAGTGTTGGCAGCCACACGCATACTAATAGTAACGAATAATTCTGTATATTTGTTTATGTATTAATATTTGTAGCACTTCAGCTGCCCGGTAACGAAATGCTTTCTCACTGTATTGGGTTGACTGGAAGAGATCTCTGTCAGAAATAAGTCCAACCTTGCTCACAATATTTATAAATACATTATTTTATATGTAACATACAAGTGTAATAAAGAATATATATAATTCTAATCAAATAACCAGGAGGGAAAGAGATTGTTAGTAATGAGGTTTAATAGCTCCATTGCTAGCAATATTCCCTTTTAGGTCGACCTCCACGCGGTTCCCCTTGGAGACCATCATGGTTAATTTTTGTCGAATTCATCATGGTGGGCCAACTGACCAGCATTCATTCTCACCTATTATCTTCTTATTTTTCTTTACCTGAAAGGAGTACTTACAGACTAATCGTTTAAGAGATATTTTATCAAAGTCGTTTCTGTAGTTTTTTTTTTTTATTATAATAACTGGTTTGCCACAATTAGTCTTTTTTTTGTGGAAAACAGTCTTAGATTGTTTATATCTATTAATATTTAACTTTAATTAACAAAAAACTAGCTTTTTATTAATTAAAGTCAAACTGCTAAAAATATCATTTTTTATAAAAATGCTTATGACATCTATTTAAACTCGTATCTATGAATTCAAGTATAGTTTAATTGCAGTTCGCGTCTTCAACTTCAATCGACTTTTACTATCCCAAATATACAAAGATAAAGTTAAACCTAAACGATATTCAACCTTAAAGCTACTGTAACTACAGTTGTTATTAACTTAATTCTAAATATGACTACTTAGTGCTTGAGATATTTTATCCGAAATGAATTTTGATACCTCCATTCTTATCCCGGGGGATAAAACAATGTTAATAGTTAAAACAAATTTTGACAATTTTATCAATAGCAGACATCAGCTACAAAGATCATTACATCTATAAATAATGATGATACTAAGTGTCATACAATCAAATTCATCACTTGGATTTAATACTAATACTCATCCAAATCTAATACAACATATATCTTATGTATTTTACTGAACTAGGTGTTATCTTGCGGATTTCCATACCACTGGTTATTTGATTTTTTTAATGGGCGATAATGGAATGGTAACCCCGCCCACGCTATCGGTATACACTGGTACCAGTAAGAGGTGATGGGTGAGGATGAAAAGGCAGGCCAGTTAGTCCATTGTGACAAATTCAATGATAAATTAGTCACTATAGTTTCCAGGGGGAACCGAGTGGAGGTCGACCTGATAAGGTATATTGATAGCAATGGGGACTAATCTCTCTATTACTAACAAATTCTTCCCCCCAGGTATTCGAGTAGGTACTTGTAACATTTGGGATAGAAGACATAAATTACATTTTATTCCGTTAATCAATATTTGCAGTCATATGAACAAATTCACGTGTAAAGACAAGTATATAAGTAACTACTCGTGCCTGTAAATTGAGTCTTGAAAAATCCTCATATAGAAAAGGTCATCGCCCCCATTAATAAAAGATTCTGTACTGTTGATAATATAAACAAACGTACAACATAATGGAATTGGGAAAGAATAACAAATAACAAAGAAAATTACCAGAAAACAAATACATACATTAATATGTTAAAAAATTGTCTAAGCATTTTTTGTTATGGATGATAATGAAATGGTAAACCCGCCTGCGCTGTTCGTATACGTTGGTATCAGTGAGGGATGATAGGTGAGGATGAAAGCAGGTTAGTTAGTTATCTTGAAGGATTCATATAGAATCAACCAGGTTGACTTCCAAGGGAGGTGGTTTTTTTTTTATGGATGTAAATGGTATGGTAACCCTGCCTGCGCTAACGAGATACGCTGGCGGAGCACCAGTGAAGGATGATAGATGAGAATGAAAACAGGCCAATTAGCTCATCATGATGAATTCATCAGGAATTAACCATGATAGTTTCCAGGGAGAACCGCGAGGAGGTCGACCTGGTTGGGTATATTGCTAGCAATAGGATTCTCAGCCTCCATTACTAACAATCCAGTGGTGTGAAGGTCGATTAAATAAGATATTGCTAATAATGTGGCCTCCATTACGGTTTAGTTCCATTACGGTTCTTTCTTCACCTCGGTCAAGAGCATGTTGAACACACGATTCCATGGTGGAACAATAAGTTTCCGAGGATTTTTTTGTGAATTCTATAAATCTAAGTCAAACATGAACTTTAGCCTTTAGGTATAGATATATAAACGTATATAGACAGACCTTTTTAGTGTAAAATGAAAATCATTAATAATTTTAAGTGTCTATCAAAAAAACTGAAGATATTTCTACATCACATATTTTTTCCTTCCCCATAAGAGGTTTTTTCCAGTAGTTGCCACGTTTGGCAGGCGGGTTGGCAACCGCAGTTAGGCTTTTGGAGATGTTTTAAGAGGGACGCTGCTGCCCATCCCTCGCCCTCTCTTAGTCGCCTCTTACGACACCAACAGGAAAGGAAGGGGTGGCCCATTTTATGCCAGGGCACACACAGCGAGCAATATATAATGATGATTAATAATAATTTTTATTTTATATTTCAGAACCATGTCACATCACTGGCTACTCATCACTTTCTCCTGGTTTGGTATCGCCAGGCTCCAGCACATCAGCACTGGAGGGCCTGGTGCTGATGCTGTTCTGGACAACGTCGATTCCACACTCCACTACCCTTTACCTTACATTAACTACTTCAGCCTGCCTAGAAACGATTTCGAAAATTACCAGAACGAAGCGTCAAACAGCGAAAATTACAATCAGTATTATCACATGAGCGAACACGGACAATCGGATCTACAAAGAAAGAGACGGACTGCTGAAGACAAAGAGGAAGTAAAGGATAAACGCTGGCTCCCAAATCTCGTTGATACAGACAAAACCATATATCTTCATAATGATGAAATGATCGGTAATCCGTTTCTCGCAGCATTCAGTAACAGAGAAGACGAGAATGCCACAGATATGAATATTTTAGAACCATTGGACAAGAAGAGCTTCAGCCCATGGGGAGGCAAAAGAGATAAGCCAAATATAGAAAACGTGTGGACGTGGAAACGTGCTTCTAATATGCGCGAACCGAGTATGCCGAAAAGAGTTCGTTTCAGCCCTTGGGGTGGTAAACGGAATGGCCAAATGGTTTATAAACCAAGCTCGAAGGGTTCGAAGATAATTTTCTTATCGACAATGCCAGAGGTGACTCGCGTCGTATCAAATTTCTCACCAAATGGTGAAAGATTCGATTTGGCCGGCTTCCAATTCGTTCCGAGCTTGGACAAACGTCATCCAATTAAAATTCTCGCATTGAGTACCAAATTGGACGAGAAAACTCTTAAAGAAGCGTTACCGTTCAAAACATTTTTGGAGTCCTTACCGAAAATATATAAACCAGGCCATCCGTACTTAGATGTAAGTTTGAAAAAGGACGGCAAGCGAAAAGTGAAGTTCAGCGCATGGGGCGGAAAGCGATCTCCGCCTATTATAGGACCCATGTGGACTCCTGCATCATCTGACATGACAGAGTCAACTTTGAATACGATACTTTTAATAAGGAAGAATCAAGATGATCAGATATTGAAGGCATTGTAACAAGGAAATATTTTGATCTCGTTTATTTAATAGCTCTCAAACTTTAGAGATGATCTCTATAGCTTCATATTAGTGCCATATAAGTGATTCTAATAGTGATTAGAATGAAAAAGAAAATATAAAAAAAAAATAGTCTGGGAGCTATAATTTTGTTTCCGACGATAGGCTGGGATCGTCAGATACAAAATGAAATTATGCACTATAAGTGATATTGTTGTTATAACTTTGTTACTCTTATTTATTGTAATATCTTGTTAGCAAATAAAGAATATAATAAGTTGAGTTTTGATTTATTCCTGTCTTATTTATGGTGAATAAAGGCAATTTAAAAATAATACAAATATTTACAACTTTAAAGATCAATTTATTTATTACCTATTCCACAAATTATAAGATAAATTATACACGACACGAGAAACTAGTAAAATACTCAATTTTGTCAAGTTAAAATAAGTGAATTTACTCATTAAAAATACAATTATGTAGGTGCCTATTTATGCAATTATTCAAAAATTTATGATTTTTTTTAATACATTAATATGGTATTGAAAGAAAAAATATGATTAGACAAAACAAGTGCAAATCTGATAAAGTTAAGGGATAATTCATGGTATAAACAATTGGCGCTTTGTAATTTCCGTCTACCTTGTAAGTGATCTGGTGTAAAGAGAAAAATGAGATATTTAATAATAATAATACCTAATTCAATGAATTTTTATTATTAAGAAATTAAATGGAATTTTCTATATGTACCTACAGAAATCTTAGATAACTATTTATTTTTATTTCTTAATTTTATCACTGGTTTCAATCAATGAACTTTTGTATCAACAAAAATACATCAGTCCAGGTTACATAACATTTGTTATATATTTTTTAAACATAATCAGGTTTAAAGTAAACAAAAAACAATATGACAATACAATATGGGAGATGACAGCAAAATTTTACTTGAGCTTAAATATTTAATATGCATATTAATTATATTTGTATATTAATTTTAAATATATTGTGGATGAGACTGGGTAGAGACAGACAGAAGTCATCAGAAGAGGTCTGCTTCTCAAGACACCTCTTCAGTATATCCTAAAAAAATTGGTTCAATGAAACCAATGTCAACTATGATATAAAATTAATGTATTCTGTTTTTAGTTAAGGCTATGACATTATATATTTTCAAAAATTGGACATTTTATTGCTTTTATTAATTCTACTCATACATACTTGTTATCAATGCCCATAAATACAAACACCATAGACATCATGGAATACCTATAGAATAGAGTTCCTTATTAACACATTAAAGGGGGATCTTGATGAAAGTATGTTAGGTAATGTGGTGATTTTGCCACATCTCCATGACAAGTATATTCATTAATCACAGTTAACTGCTTAAGTTGCAGTCAAGAGAAATCATAGTACAACGACTCCTGCTTTTAATGTGTTAATTGCCAATCCTGAAGATTTAAGATGTTATGCTTCTTATGCCAATATATTACTTGTATTTTTAAATTGATATTAATGAATGTAAACTTCTTAGATACAAAAACTCTTGTTCAGTGCATGCAAATAGGATAGCATCATTGTATATATTGCAGAGGTAAATTTTTGTTACAAGGTAAGGCATTCATTGTCACAATTGGTATTTATAAATTTAGATGTTTAAAACAAATGCTCAAACAGCCCAAGTATTAATTACTTAAGCCGTCCTCAAAATAATATGGTATCCAGAATCAGTCTCGACAGGCCGACTTAATTGCCCTGGTTTCAGTTTAAAGGACTCCTCCTCAAAGGGCCGCTGCATTTGGCCTCTGCCAAACATGCCTAAATCACCACCACGTTTCGCTGAGGTACAGTCAGAGTATTTACTCGCTATATCAACAAATGTAGCTTCGTTGGCAACAATCTGTTTACGGTAACCCTTCAATATCTCTAGCGCTTCCTCCTTACTTCTAGTTATGTTTTCTTCGCGCCATGACGACGGACGCCTGCTTTCTGCATGTTTAACCAAAATGTGACTGCATCGGACTTCACCAGGGTCAGCAGGTGCTTCAGGTCGTTCCCACTGAGATTTCTTTGTGTACATGTTTGAGGAAATACGTCATGCCTGTTGAGCGGCTGGTCCTCATCTCCCATCCTTCGGGCAACGGCGCATCGTTATCTTGACTTGACATTCTGGAATGTTTTTGCATTTTTTGTGGAATGATGTTTTTTAACAAGAATAGTTTATTACGTACAATACAATTTAAAAAAATAGTTAATTAAATTCATTAGAGGTGTGCTATCCGTTTTCAATACATTTCTCGAGTCATACCCACTTTAGAAATTAATTTTGCTATTCTAAATAAATAGACTATTGGTAATGTCTTTATTCACCATAAACAATGGAATAACTTTAAAATGATAGTATTAATTTATAAATACTGAATATAAGGTAGATTTAACCTAGACAGTTATGTACAATTCAATTTTTAAAAGCAAATTCTATGAACTCACCTGGATATCAGCGGCGATGAAGAATAAGAAATTAAAACAATATCTTTACACTTGTTGTTAATTAAACAATATAAATTCTGAATATTATTATATTAACGGAAGAAAAATTAAAGGACGCTTAATTTGACAGTCTAGTTCATTTTTTGACACAAATATAGAGTAATGATTTTTTTTAGTACGTTTGTTCCGTTGTGAACAGGCTAAGGTCGAAGACCATGCTGCCTAGTCTTCAATATGATAAATTGTATGGAATTATAGAGTAATGATATAATGTAAGACAATTTGTCAATACTATTCTTAGTCTATGATGTTTGACTAGTACTTATTTACTGTTATATGCTAAGAACAAGGAAAATCTTTGATTAGATGTATAATATGTGTATGAGAATTATCTGTTATTAATAGTTATGAGTAACTAAATTATTTTTCAAGGATATTCGTACTCTGATTTGCATATAAAGTGAGATTTAAATTAGAGAGACTATATGTGAGATAAAGGATACACGAAAAGTTTTATAGGTTTATTATATTTTTGGAGTTATCATAAATCATTAATTGTATGTAAAATTAAATCTATAAATTTTGTCGTCTGTTATTTGATTGTATAATGTATGTATATGCATGGTGTAGTTATACTATGTTTAATGTATACAACGGGGTGGTACAGGTTAAGTGGGTGGATATATAATGCCATCTAGCGTATTTTATGATAACGACGCGTTTCAGAGTAACAAAAGCAGAGCTTATTACCGGAACTTGTAAGCACTTGAAAGAAAATCTTGTGAGGTATTTACCATCCTAGAACACATTTTTCAACATTATTCGTAATAAGATGTCGCCACACATAGCAATAAATTATATTATTATATGTAAATATTTAACTGGTCTGTTTGAGAGAGGAGGGATTGTTAGTAATGGGAATTTGGGATCACTGATGAAGTACCAGTGAGGTGATGTTGAAGCAGGTCAATCGTGATGAATTCAATAAGAATTAATCACACTGATTTTCAGGGGGGACCGCGTGGAAGTCGATCTTACAGGGTATATAGCTAACAATGGCATTGCTAATTGCCATTACTAAAAATCCCTTCTCTTCCACAGAATGGAACTGTAACCCCGACTGCACTGTCGGTATACGTTGGCGGGGCACCAGTGGAGGAATTATCTCCCTATCAAGGTGAGAATGAAAACAGGTCCGATGGCCAATAGTGAAGAATTCATTTCAATTCACCCAGATGGTTTCCTGAGGGAACCGCGTGGAGGTCGATCTCATAGGTTGTTCACAGCAATGTAGGGAAGATATACATCAGGCCGATCTCCATGCAGTCCCACTAGGAAAACAACGTGGTTATTTCCTGGTAAATTCATTAGCCTGCCAGCGTATATTGATCACACAGTTGGGGTTGCCACTCCAATTTAATTATTTAAAAAAAAATCTTTCTGACTACTTAAATATTGATTTAAATTTTCTTAGTAAATTAACGAATTCTGAGTTTCGCTAAAAGATACAGTAATAGGACTAATATTGTGACTAGTATTTAAATAAATTAAAGAAGTACTTAATGGTTTTAATGAAATTATTTATATTTTTAAATGTAGCTAATTATTTTCATATACTTAATTGCTCGTGATTCATATTTTATTAATATTTAGAATTTTTTATTAATTGCCACTCTGATGAATTAGCAATTTTTTATTTTATTTTAGATACTATATTATTAGTAGGTATGGTAACTCCGCCTGCGCTATTGGTATATAATTTTTTTTTTTTAATTTATTCATGACCAATGAATAAATTAAAAAAAAAAAATTATTGGTATACGCTGACGGGGTACGGGTAAGAGATAATAGGTGAGGACGAAAGCAGGTCAGTTAGTCTATCGTGAAGAATTAACCACGATGGTTTCCAGGGAGAACTGCGTGGAGGTCGACCTAATAGGGTACATTACTAGCAATGGAGCTGTTAAATCCCATTACTAACAAACCCTCTCCCCCCTAGAAGGTATACTTATGAAATTGCGCAGCGAATTTTTATATTTCCCTACTGGATATTTTCCCGAAGTATAAAGTATGTTTGTAATTAAATTTTAGTATATGGGTTGATAAATATACTAGTTTTCACCCGTGACAAGAATTGTCTGTTATTAGAGAATTACTGTTATTTATTTATTTATTTATTTGCACACATTAAAATATGTCTACAGGGCGCACTTAATGCCTGATGGCATTCTTTAGCAGTCGACCGTTACGCAAAACAGGGAGAGTAAATGGCGATGCATAGTTTTTTTTAAAGGGTGCAAATGGTATGGTAACCCCGCCTGCGCTAACGGGATACGCTGGGGGAACACCAGTGAAGGGTGATAGATGAGAATGAAAACAGGCCAGTTAGCCCATCATAATGAATTCATCAAGAATTAACCATGATAGTTTCCAGGGGGAAGCGGGAGGAGGTCGACCTGGTTGGGTATATTGCTAGCAATAGGATTCTCAGTCTCCATTACTAACAATCCCTTCCCCCCGGCGATGCATAGTTATTCGGTGTGACTAAACACTATGCTTATATTTTAGACAAAACCGCGACATGATTGTTTGGCGGACCAAACTCTGTAGGAACCTAAGTGCGACTGAAAAGTTCAGAATGTTGTTAACATATGTATAGCGTAAAGCGCTAATACCCTGCGACGAATGTTCGTTCAGCCGTAATTCGTTCTGACTTAGAGAGTGGTTACAATTTAGCTGTTATGAAGGTTTTGTTTATGCAACTTAGACGGCCCATCTAACGAACAGTGGTAACCGTCGCCTAAAGACATGAGCAGTACCAAAAAAAAAAATCTCTTTTCTTGAGTTTGAGATTACATTGCCGTATAGGACAAACATTACAAGGAGTTTATAATTGAAAGTTTACTTAATATATAGGTGCTTTAGTAACTCGAATCGCTTGTGCAATTAATTGCAACTATGTGTACACTGCAGGTACATAATCGAACACTAATTGAAGACTAAGTACTGTGTGAAGATCTATCTGCAGTACGGCATAATTATCATAGGATGTTTGTTTGAATTCTATCTGAATTGTAATAATGGAGTAATTTGTTTTTGTATATGGATCGTTAGTAAATATACAAGGGCAAATATATAATAATATAGCTTTTACCCGCGACTTTGTTCGCGTTTACTGATTGCTATAAATAGCCTATGCTTATATAAACTAATCTTTTGCGGGGAAGGGATTGTTAGTAATGGGGAGATTAGTCCCCGTTGCTATCAATGTACCCTATCAGGTTGACCTCCATGTGGTTCCTCCTGGAAAATATCGTGAATAATTTATCGTTGAATTCGTCATGATAGGCTAACTGACCTGCCTTTTATCACCTCCTATCACTTTTCATTGATGCCTTGCCAGTGTATACCGATAGCGCAAGAGGGGTTACGATACCATTTTCACCCATTAAAAAAACTAATGTACTAATACTCCCATAAACCTATTTTAGCTATTGAACTGTTTTGTCTTTTTCTTCTACTCTAAATTCCTAATTTGAAAGAAAGGGACAAAATAGTGCAATAGTTATATAGGTTTATAGAAGGTTTTAGTTTTTATGAAGAACAAACAAACAAACACACATAAATTTGTTATAAAAACACTGTATACAGAATTATAATAAGAATATATATATATATATATATATATATATATATATATATATATATAAAGTTTACTCAAAAGCAACTTCTTTTTTTCCTTAATTGCTTGTTAAAGATGCAACAATAACGTAATTAGAGACCTTTGTTGGACAAAAAATTACATTTTATTTCAAAATGATCTTTTTTTATAATTATTAATGCCATCTTTATTCACTTAAAATTCGGTAACGCTCGACTAGTTTCGTACTCAGTAGGTGACCTTATTCATAAGCGCGGTTCTCAACCGTGTCGCTTGGGGGCAAAGGGATTGTTAGTAATGAGTACTAATTAATCCATTGCTAGCAATACAGGGTGTATTGCTCAGGTCAGTATCAGGTGTATCAGGTCGACCTCCACGCGGTTCCGCCTGGTAACCGTCGTGGTTAATTCCAGTGGAATTCGTCACGATGGGCTAACTGGCCTGCCTTTTCATCCTCACCTGTCATCCTTCACGTGTGTCCCGCCAGCGTATCCCGATAGCGCAGGCGGGGTTACCACTCCATACTATTACCCATAAAAAAACCATGTCGCTTGAATATTTTGATTTTTAGTTTGGCGCGTCAATGTGGTGTCGTAAAAAAATCGTCACATCCGTAATAAAATATCAAAGTGCATATCGCAATAAACTTGCATATTCCCCTGTAAAAGATAACTTTTTAAATATTTATATCAGACGGCGCTGTCTACAGCTCGCTCACTTGTATCTTGGATTGTATATAAGTACGGCAAGCATAAAAACCGATGAAGTTATTAAAATAATAAAAGTCTAATAAAAATTTGTTAAAATAAAGATTGTGCCCCATAAATAAATCGGCTTTAATTGTGACAAAACCAGATATTTTAATCTAAGAATTAATCTCAGATCCCTTTCTGGGAAAATTTTAATATGGGACCTATTTATAAATAAAAAAGGAAATTTTCAAAGTCGGTTTACAAGTAACGGAGTTATGAGGTAACAAACGTAAAAAAAATATAACCAAATTAAAAACTTTTGAAGTCTATTAAAAAAGGAAGTAGATAGCTACCTACTTGGTGCAAAGGTATTTTAGTTTTCAAATCAAAATAACCGATTTTACTAAAATTTAAGTCGGTTTTCATTGTGAAACATAATCTTAATTATTTCTCTATCAAAAAGTTGTTTAAAAGAGAATGCTTCAGTGTTAAGACCGCATTTGTACTTTATAATATATTGTTTGTGTTTATTAAATTAATAAATATTTATATAAAATAAACAATATTATTTTGTATGATTTCTTAACTAGTGCGATCAAGAATATATAAGTAAATAAAAAATGTGTAAATCTTCTTTCAATGCTGACTGTACCAATAGTATAAGCCTCATATTTTGCTAAAATAAAAAAAAAATTCAACGCTGTTTAAGAGACGCTGTTAAAGTATGAACAAATTTCGTGGAAACAGATGAATTTCCAAGAATTTTAAACGACTTTTAAAGTAATGAAATTCCCGTTTTTTCTAATAGATTTTATGGCTATATTACATTGCCGATTCTGAGCCGATTGCACGATTCTTTTTGCAATAGAAAGGGTGACGTTCAGTGTTACACCTACTGATGTTGTAAAAAATTATTTTATTATTAATATTTCTTTATTTAATAATAATATTTCTTTATTTATAGATTACAAAGATCCATTTTTGTTAGTAACAATTGACTTAAACTATGTTAGTAGAAAAAAAATACAAAATTCATTTTATGGCCTTAAAAACCTGAAGTTTCAAATTTGATACCGGGGTTATAAATCGCATTGGGCGCCTACAATCGATTTTATTTTAATATTTGGCTGTTTTACATGTAAGCAATTTTTTTTTCAAAATAAATAAAAATATCGTTTTGTTTTTTTTTACTATTTTTCCCCATTAGTAAACGCAGTAAAGGGTACACTTATATATTTTTTAATTTGATTTAAAAAATCAGGCTTTTAAGGTTTAATATAATCGCCATTTTTTACGACGAACAGTTTTTGGTACTTCTTTGAGGATTATTCTTTGTGAAGCAAACTAATGAAGCAACGTATTTCATTACTGTATTATAAAATGGATAACGTATTAATTATTAAATGGATACCTATTATAAACGACTATTAAAAATTAATAAAATATACGAATAACTAAGATTGGATATAAAATATTTAAAAAATAAATACTAAATCAGTTATTAAATAGAAATAACTAAAAAATTTTTTTTATGATTTGAAAAATTTCTTAATGTCACCGCTGATTGGTAGCGTATACGCTAAAAACAACCCCCTGTATATATAGGGTTGTTTTTTTTTTTAATGAATTAAACCGGAATGGCGGGTCACCAGTGTGGGAAGATAAGTGAGAATAAAAAGGCAGACCAGTTAACCTACCGTGATGAATTTACCTGGAATTCAGCACGATGGTTTCCAGAGGGACCACTTGGAGGTCGACTTGGTTGGGCAAATTACTATGTATTGGTGAGAATGAAAAGACAGGTTAGTTAGCCCACTGTTACGAATTGAACGATAAATTAGTCACGATTGTTTCCAGTGGGGACCGCATGGAGCGACCTGATAGGGTATATTGGTAGCAATGAAGACTAACCTTCCCATTTCTAACAATCCCCTCGCCCCATATACAGGAGGTTGGTCGCATTGCCCCGGTGTACGACGTATAATAATGATTTATACATATATACGTAAAATAATTTAAATGTTACTGCCAATATGGAGGAAGTATAATTCTGGTGTTGAATTCTAGATTCACGGCTGTATGCCAGAGAGAGTAAAAAATTTAACATGTTCCTAATGTTTTTTGACTATATACACTAGCAGAAAATACGAGATTAGGTTGGTATTAGATTTACGTTTTCATATATGATAATGAAATGGTAACTCCGTCTGCGCTAACGGTATACGCTGGCGGGGCACCAGTGAGGGATGACAGGTGAAAATGAAAAGACAGGTCTTTTTTAATGAGTAATAATGGAATGGTAACTCGCCCGCGCTATCGGTATACACTGGCAGGGCACCAGTGAGGGATGCTAAGTGAGGATGAAGCAGGTCAGTTAGCCCATCGTGACAAATTCAATAAGAATTATTCACGATGGTTTCCAGGGGAATCCACGTGGAGGGCAAACTAATAGGGTATATTACTAGCAATGGGGCTGTCAAACTCCATTGCTAACAATCCCTTTCCCTCCTGAAAAGACAGGTCAGTTAGTCTATCGTGATGAATACACCTGGAATTAAGCTTGATGGTTTCCAGGGGAAAGCACGGGGAGTTCGACCTGGTTGGGTATATTGCTAGCAATAGGGCCCTTAATCTCCATTGCTAACAATCCCCCCCCCCTAGGATTAGGTATAGGAGAATAAAAACAATACTTTTATTGCAAACTTCAGTAATAAACTTTATTCGTATGCAAATAATTATCAAAATCTCCCTTTGCATCTTCTGCCGCCTGTATAAGGAGTTGTGTTTTGAGGAGCTCTTCGACATCATGCCTACGGTCACTTTTTATCATCGTACTGCTTTTTTTATGCAACTTAGAATGACAAACAAGCTGACGGACCACCTGATGGAAAGTAGTAACCGTCGCCGACAGACATGAGCAGTACCTAACATATACTCCCCATACGTTGCTATTCCTAAGGAGTAAGGTGTTAAGCCTCTGTACCTTGTAAATTCACGCCATATCCCACCCTTCAAACCGAAACACAACCATGCAAACACAACTGCTTCACTATAGAAACACGAATGAGACATAAGTACCCAAGTAAACGACTATATTAAAAAGTATTCCTCTGGCTCGTAGTATAATAAAACACCAAAATTCATTCACATTTACAGTCAGGGTCTTTTCATCATTCCCGAAATGAAACAACAATTATCACAATACGACTAAGTACAACATAATACGCGTAAGCCGTAAATGACCGTTTATCTGTCCACAATCACTGATAGTAAATTTTCCCGTAATTAATACGTTTATTTTAACAGTTTATACATGAAAAACCTATTAAAGTTTTTGAGTGTTTCGCCTTTAACGCGATTGGTCGAGTTTGCAATGTGGAGGCGTACGTGCGACGCCATTGGACGCCAGAGAGCGTAAGTAGTGGAGTTTTCGCGGGTTTTGCATCAGTTGTGGTAAATTTTCCCGCGCGATCATAGCGCGACTAACATATTTGTCGCGTACAAAGTTACGTTTGGAAGTTATGAAAAGTGTTTTACCATAGAGTCGTCAATTTATTTTTCACGAGCTGTTTTAAAAGAAAGGTAAGATTTTATATTAATTTAACGTAAAATAATAAAATCTAAATGTTTACTATAAATAATTATAATCTACATTTACGCTGTCGACTAGGATGGAGAATATTAAAAATGATATTCTAGACCTTTCTAGATTAAAAAATATTAAAAATAATATTATTATTTATAATAATTAAAAAAGGTATGTAATATAATAAAATAATATTATAATTTTATTAATTATAAGCTACGTTTACGGTATCGAGTAGGATAGACACTATTAAATATTATATTCCAGATCGTTCTAGATTAAAAAAGCAATAAAAAGAAGTATATAATTAAGTTGTGGATAAGATCTATTAATATTACTTTTGACAAATATCTTTGTAAAATTTTATTTTAAAAGTATATTTTCATTGGATACTAACCGCGGTAGATACTTACTGCTCATATATTGACAACAGACTTGAAAAGCAATCACAGGGGTGAGACAAAAAAATTAATATAATGTGTGTGTAATGTAAAAATGTACATTTTTACATTCTGAATTTATAAAAAAATAAAGTTGAAAAATAACAAATATTCAAGTTACATTTCTTACTATTTTAATTTTGATTTGTGAATATTCAGAGCTTTGTTTGGTTTAAATGCAACATTTTCTCCTATTTTTTATTGTACAAGAAATTTATAATGTTTCTATAATGTTGTATTTGTAGAATAAAATAATATTTAAAAGCTGAATTTATATTTTTTTCTTATTTATTTTACATTTAAATATTGCACACATAACTGTAACCAACATTAATTTAGAACTAATTACATTTCAAAACTAAAAAAAACCAAAGTTTGCTTTATTCATAACTTCCGCCAAAACTTTTTTAGCTATATGAATTTTTGTCAATATATTTCGCACTTTTACACACGTTTTCTCCTTTACATTTACAATCTATATATTTTTAATCACATAACTAATATTTTATACACGTGTATAGGACCCATCAGACTCATCACAACCTTAATCAGTTTATACTGACGTCCTTTGCCCTACTTTTGTACTATAAATAAATACGTCCAAAAACAAAATGCTTTAAATATACTTATATCCGTAACGAAATAAACCGATATAATCGAGATACAATCACTAATCTACGTTTAGAAATGGCGAGATGACGTCATAATTTTGAAAATCTTTCCTTTCGCACAAGTCAAATTCAGAAGTTTGAAAATATCTGTAAAATGACATAATGGTACTTGATGGTAAATGGTTACCGTAACCTATGAATGCCTACTAATACCAGGAGCATTACACGCGTGTTGTTTGAAGAAATCTCTTTATCCCTTTCTTGAAGAATCTCATGCTATAGTCTCTTGGAAAAACCTCAACAGGGAGGTCATTCCATAACCTGAGTGTTCGTGGGGAGAAATTTCACAACACACTCGCAATTTTTTTATACAATTTAGAATGGCAACAAACTGACGGCCCACCTGATGGAAAGTGGTAACCGTCGCCTATAGACATGAGCAGTACTATGGACATAACAGAGTATACTGTTTCGCCCATGATACCCCCATGCGTGTTATTCTCACTCTCTATATATTCACACTCAGGTGTTATTCCTTTGTACCCTGTAAATTTAAGCCATATCCCACCTTTGAAACCGAAACACAGCCATGCAAACACAGTTGTGTTTGCATGGCTGTGTTTCGGTGTGTACTTTACAGTTGAAACACGAATAGGACAGAGGTACCCAAACAAACGACTTTTGTACAAAGTTTCCCTTTGCGGACAATATTATAGTAATCAGTGTGAAATCTTTGGAGGACTAATTTTATGCTTTATGATAGTATAATTTTTCTCATAAAGGAAGTCATGAACAAGTCTAAAATCATGTTCAAAACATGTAACCAGTAGATTTCACCCACAACTTCGTCTACGGGATCGGGATATGTTTACTGACCGGAGTAAAAAGTTGCTTTTAACTTTCTCCATCCCTTATAGTATGTGTATACCAAATTTTACAGTGACTGGTTGTGTCGTTAAGACGATATAAGGTAACAAACTAAGAAACAAACTCATTTTCGCATTTATAATATTACTGAGGATATCACATGTATCCTGTTAAGTTTAGAAAGTTAGCAAGTACTTCAAGTTGTGATGAGTAAGTTTACCTGAGACAACTTGTCAGATTGGATTCACCTTCGAAGACAATACTCGACGAGTCCCAATTTGTTAGACAGTTTTCAAAAACTAAACGCAATATTTAGACTTCCAAAATTTTTAAACTAAATGAAACATGTCTATAACCAAAATGAATATGATTGTTAAATTTCGAAGGGGCATCCAACTGAATAAGCTTGCCATATAGCTTGAAAAATTAACAACTGAAGAGAAAAAAAAGTTTCCAGTAGCAGCAAACGTAGAAAAAAGACGACCATCTCAGGAGTATTTCAGAGAGTTAATGGATGGAGATTATTAATATGGGATATTCATTATCCAAATCATAGGATTTGGATGGGATAATGAATAGTTGAAATAATAGATAGATAAATACTCTTTATTGTTTCCTTCAAAAGATTACAATAGTAAACTTATTATAGATATATTTAAACTATTACAAGAAATAATCACAATGAGAAAACAATGGGCGACCTTATCGTTAAAAGCGATTTCTTCCAGACAACCTTTGGATGGAGAGGAGCAATAAACTATTTAAATGGACCTATAGATATGACTTCAATTCTTGAAGAAGTACTTAATACAGAACATCATTGGCAAAATTCGAATTATTTTCCAGAGGTGTTAGCTCTTTATAAAAGGCTTATATACACTCTTAAATATATGTTCTCGAAGCTCCATTCACATCCTAGGGTGAGCACAAACAATTCTGAGAACGGTCCACTCGGACCTTTTAAATACATCTATAGAACATGGCCATTAAAATCCTGAAACAATACGGGTAGAGGTACATGACTCTTTTCGATTAGCCGACGATATAGTTATAAAATTAACTTAATAATTAAATTGCTCGAGCAACTGGCAGTCAGTGGGGGTGAAAGATTTTCGAGTTTTTCCAGTTATAAGAGTAGAGTAAAATGCGAATGTGTGATTTCTAGAGAAATATTCCTTATTGGAATAAGTTCTGATAATAGTAAGTCTTCATATACGAGTACAAGTATGCTTGATGTTTTCGCATTTATTTAAGCAAATTCAAATGTATAAAATTTCGTAAGAGCACTTGCGTGTAATTAAATCAGTGAGGCTCGTGCTATCGTCACAGTTGCTTATGACTAAGAATCACGAATTGATTCCGAAACTAGTTGAGCTTTTCAAACTAATTACATGTAATTTAAACCGGTAGTTATTACATTAAAATTCGAATGTGTTTACCATCATACGCTCGATTTTACTTGAATTTACTTAATAAGGTTTTAACTTATTTGGGGAAATCACTTGCAATTAAGTTGTCGTTGAGAGTAGAACGGACTGTTCTTGTCGATTGATCGTATTTATGTACCATGTTGTCTCTGTATTCGTTCAGGATGGTATAGTCACATGTCGTGGAAAAATAAAAAAAGGTGAGTTACATTCTCATTTGGGCCCTGTTTTTTTACAAAATCCGAAGTTCTGGTATCATTGACAGATCCATTGAAAGAACAGAAAATAACATGTTATTACTTGGTGTTTTTATTTAAATAATTCACAAACTGACGCGAGCTTTATCCCTCTGGTATCAAGAGAGGGTCTTTAAAAAGAGTATATTAAGGTTTCTTCAGCTATTCAGGATGTGCTAATATACCGGCGCATCCCCCGAGTAGTAAGGTGAACACGCTATCCACCCTATCTCCAGAGAGGAGAACTGCTCTTACCATCTGGGGGCGGATCGCTGCCATCGGAGATGTGGTGAGTGCGAAAGCGAACCCATGTCTCCGACATATGGCATCTCGAGGGTATATCGTCTGGTTTTGGGTGGGTACACCCTCACCTTACGGGGGGATTTCCACAGTACCCATTCACCTCCCACAAGGTGTATGTGGTCTGCATAAAGCATTTTCCAGACGTTAAAAAAAAGGGTCGGCAACGCAAACGTGACACCCTTAGTGTTACAGGTTACAGTGACCGTTTAACATCAGACGGGCTGTATGCTTGACTGCCATCTTTGTGGTATAAAAAGTTTGACGCCAAGCTCAAAGAGTTCTTTGATGATGGCTTTATATGAATTGCCAAGTGTAGAATAATTGACAATCATTTTATAAATTAAAAAAGCAGTGTTTTGCTGAGATATAATCTAGGGATCTTAGGACCGCATTCAAACTTTGTCTGAGCTATTACCTCTCAGAAATATAAGATAAAAACATGGTTTCAATTACCTTGGGATGAGAATATAAGGATAAAAAGCTAGTTTTTAAATATTTTACTAAAATTTTGCGAAATTCCATATCACTGGTTATTTTTATTTTGTTTAATTCCGCTACCATTACTAGAAGTTCTACAACCTTCCATATTAGCCATCAGTCGTCGGTTGCCATTTTGTCCACGCACGTTTTACAACATATGTTTCACCTCTAAACCAGACATCTTTAGGCAAAATAATGGATCGTTGAATGAATCCTTGTGTCAACTGTTCGGCACCTATTATTTTGCAGTTTGAATAAAACGTGTCGCAAAATATGCGTGGACGAAATGGCAGTCGGAGATTGATGGGTAATATGAAAGGGTGCTGCCTGCCAAGCGTGATAATTACTGATAAAACCTCCTTTATGGGATATGGCATACGCTCAGCAGTGGACATTTAACGGTTGATGGAGATGGAAGATTGGTGAACAAATATATTAGAATAGATTGTGTGTAGCAAATATTTCTAGCTGCTATTTTATAATATGTAATACTCAGAAAAGTACACAAAAATTCAAAAAGTAGGGATCATATAATTCCGTGAAAACAAATACGAAAGTAAACCCTTTGTTTGTTTGATTTTGTAGGGAGATGATAAAACTTATTGCTCACCAAAATGGATGCTAATCTACGC